ACCTAGTAGATATTTTAGGTTTGCGTTGGTATTTTTCTGTAATTTCAAGACCCACTACTCTTGACAGATAAATAAGTGATTTTAGAAAACATTATCTTCAAAGAAGAATACAAAGCCAAAGATATCAAAACACCAGGAAAGTTTTAAAACCAAGGGTCATTTCTTAATAACTGGAAAAATATCTACTGCCTTCCTACCTAGGTATCATTATCATAACTGAATTTTTTCTTAACATAACATAGTAATGCCCAATATGTTTTATATAGTTATGTCATTTACAAATGAAGAAGATCTTCATTGATTTTCCCAAAGTCTTACAATTAGTAAAGTGGCAAAGAAGTCAAACCCATTTCTTTTTAAAAGCCTACACTTTAAAGCATTGCTTTCTATTACCACAAACTACACAATTTGGACTAATATACTGATCACTGGACACCATATAAGATTTACTTTTGGTTCAAAGGACAGAAAAGGAAGATAATGTTGATAATTAACTTGTTTTAATTTCTTTCTGAGATGCTGTTCCTGTAATCGCTGAAAGCTGGTTCAGTATTGCAGTGGCTACTGCTTCACCTAAGTACACTCTAGGAAGGGGTAAAGAACACTTTTCTAGTACCGATATCTCATTCTTCAAAGAAAGAGGGGTCACACACAGTGTGTATTCTATCTGGTTCTAATATTTTTTTTCAATAACTTTATTTTTTATTCTAACCTGCCACTATTTCATTCTTTTAACTTTGGCTTCAGGATGGCACTTTGTTTCATAAACCCATTTTGTCCAGGTAATTATATATTTCTTTCATGATGAGTTATTTTAAAATACTTCAGTATTATTATTATTATGTGTAAATAAAATTATATTAATCTACAGCTACACTTGAGGGGACTTTTATTAGTATAAGAAAAATTTTAGTAGTCATTTATTTGAGAAATTTGTTATATTTTAAGGTTTACATAAGATTGGAAGAGGGAACCCGCATCACCATTCAGAAATAAAATTTAAAAATATGCAAGTTCATCTATCAATAAACAGAATTAGAACTATTACCCATGTATCAAATCTGGCTGGTATTCTATTTTGTAAATAAAATTTTATTGCAACATCAGTTTGACCGATATTTCTATTGTTTAAACCTCAATCATGTGCTTCAATTAATTGCAAGAGAGGCTGTGAAATATAATTAGTTGCGTCTTATAGAAAGTGAAAATAAAGTTGTTGAAAAGCTAGTCACTTTCCACCATAGAGAACTTTTATAGTTAGATTTAATTAGGTATAATATTTAATAAGATGTGATAGAGTAATAAAATACTCAAAGATATCTTCTAAGTGAATCCATGTAGATGGTTATATATCTAGGAGTGCTGGGAAATACAGAAGGAAAAGCAAGATTTTGGAGAATAAGATAATAGTATGAATATATAAATGAATTCCACTTTAATGTACAACTTAAAAAATGTCAGCTTCAAAGTAGAGGTGTTTGGCATGCATTTTGGTACTATAGGATGCATATCAGGACTGAGATACAATCCAGAGGTACAGGGTTTGGATTATTCAAAACAAACAGTAAGTGGCAGTAAATTTCATGAAGTTGACTTGAGACATTACATAAATGAGAGAGTTATAAACATTAAAAGCATAGTAAGTAACATATTTGACTCAGGAGAAGTAATAGAGACAAAGAAACAAATAAAATATCCTTTGCCTTCAAGAAGCTCACAGTTGGCTGGCAATAGTCCAAAAATACTGTTGATTGCCTGTTGTGTGGTAAAAGCTATAAAAGATTCATGGCATGGAATGGAAGCATAGAGGAAGGGAGCAACAAATGCTCAGCAAATGTATGGATTAAATGATGTGTTCCAGATACATCACACAAATAAGCTCACTATTCCTTGGTTCCCCTTCAGTCTCACATAAATAGTTAATTAATCCTCATATAATTACAGAGAGGATGATTTCTGCTTCCACTCTGCACACTTAACCTTTATTAAATGCTTACTTTGTTGAAAATACTGTGATGCTTTATTTATATGGGATTATCTTCAATTAAGTCTCATAATAATGCTATCTGAAATGGATCATTATTTTCATTAAAGCCCCGAAACATATTCATTATTTCAAAACTGGATTAGGTAAACTTGCTTTAGTAAAGTTAATATCTGTTATACTTTCTACCACCCCACCATCCCCATGATATCTCCCTTTGTTCTTTTTGAAGAATAATTAGAAATACCAATATGACTTGCTCAATAGTTATATGCTAATTAACAGGAAAATGAGAGCTGGTGTTATAGATTTAAATAGCTATTATTCCAATCAAAATCCCAATGGCATTCCTCATAGAAATAGAAAAAGCAATCATGAAATTCATCTGAAAAAATAAGAGACCCAGAATAGCTAAGCAATCCTTAACAGGAAGAGTGAATCAGGTGGCATCACTATACCAGACCTTAAACTATACTACAGAGCAATAGTAACAAAAACAGCATGGTATTGGCACCAAAACAGGTTGGTAGACGAATGGTACAGAATAGAGGACACAGAGAATAACCCACAAAATTACAATTATCTTATATTAGACAAAGCTACCAAAACATGCATTGGAGAAAAGATAGCCTCTTCAACAAATGGTGCTAGGAAATCTGAAAATCCATATGCAACAAAATGAAATTAAACCCCTATCTCTCACCATGTACAAAATTCAATTCAAAATGTATCAAGGACTTAGGAATACAACCAGAGACCCTGCATCTAATACAAGAAAAAATAGGCCCTAATCTCCATCATGTGGAATTAGGCTCCAACTTCCTTAATGAGACTCCTATAGTGCAAGAATTAAAACCAAGAATCAATAAATGGGATGGACTCAAACTAAAAATTTGTTCTCAGCAAAAGAAGCAATCTGTGAGTTGAACAGAAAGCCTACATCTTGGGAGCAAATTTTCACACCCCCCCCACATCAAATAGAGCACTAATCTCTAGGGTATATAAAGAACTCAAAAAGCTAAACACCAAAAAGCAAATAACCCAATCAATAAATGGGCCAAAAACATGAAGAGACACTTCTCAGAATAAGATATAAAATCAATCACAAATATATGAAAAAAATGTTCATCATCTCTAGCAATTAGAGAAATGCAAATAAAAACTACTCTGAGATACCATCTCACTCCAGTCAGAATGGCAGCTATTATGAAGACAAACAACAATAAGTGTTGGGGAAGATGTGGGCAAAAACACACACTGATACATTGCTGGTGGGACTGCAAATTGGTGCAGCCAATATAAAAAGCAGTATGGAGATTCCTTGGAAATCTGGGAATGGAACTACCATTTGATCCAGCTATCCCTCTCCTCAGACTATACCCAAAGGACTTAAAAATAGCATACTACAGGGACACAGCCACATCAATGTTTACAGCAGCACAATTCACAATAGCTAAACTGTGGAGCCAACCTAGATATTCCTCAGTGGATGAATGGATAAAAAAAAATATATGTAGCATATATACACAATAGAATTTTACTCAGCAATAAAAGAGAATAAAATCGTGGCATTTGAAGGTAAATGAATGGCACTGGAGAAGATAATGCTAAGTGAAGTTAGCCAATCCCAAAAAAACAAATGCTGAATGTTTTCTCTGATTTAAGGAGGCTGACTCATAGTAGGGTAGGGAGGGAGAGCATGGGAGGAATAGATGAATTCTAGATAGGGAAGAGGGGTGGAAGGGAAAGGGAGGGGGCAGGGGATTAGCAAGGATGGAAGAATGTGATACAAAGTACATGTATGAAGACATGAATTGATGTGAACATACTTTATAAACAAACAGAGGTATGAAAATTGTTCCATATGTGTAATAAGAATTGTGATGCATTCTGCTGTCATGAATTTAATAAAACCAATAAAATAAATACATAGACAGTTGTTATTTTACTGAAAATTAAGAAAATACTACCAGCATTTGATAGCAGTCCAGCATAGAAGCATGAATGAATAAGCTCTGGAAATTGATAAAATTAGAGAATTTTTAAAGCTATGCAGGCTTAAAATATATGTATCTAACTGATTAATATAAAACAGAAATTCTGAGTGTTATTACTTATATTGTAATGAGTGATGTCACAATTATAGTGGTATATTTATCTTCCTTAGATAAGTGAAAACACATTAAAATTGATAAAAATTTTAAAAAAGATTTTTATATTTTTAATGTTTTTCTTTGTTTTTAAAGTTTTCTACCATCAGTATTAAGCAGACTTAAAATTAATTTATGTCATTCTACGTACTTTATGATCTCAATTACTTAATTATATGTATTCTTTCTTGTTTCTCTTTCTACCTTTATTTCTCTTCCATGCCTCCACATATATGCAAAAAAAAGTCAAACACATCAAAAGTACACCAAAATCTTACAACCTCCAAAAAAGGCAATAAGATTGTTTACTTTTAATCATTTATATTTTCTAAATATTTATGAAAGTACGAATCACTGATACAATGCTGAAAACCCTACTTTGAAAAAAATAAATCCAGAAATTGTTTTAATAAAATAAACAGGAAATATAGTTAAATGTATGAAATTAAGTAATGAAAGAAGTTAAATAAGCAATATCTTAATAAAAGTCAGCAGTAGGGGCAAAAATTACTATGCTAACCACCTTGCCAGAGAAACTGAAAATACCTTACATATTGCTACACTCAGAAAGAATATAAAAGAGAATATATACAGCATCTTTTCAATATTGCCTGTAGTAATGAAAATCTGTTTTAATTGTTCCTTGGGAATCTGGATATATAAGAAAACTTTTAGTGCTGCTAAGTCAACTTGATTTAAATTATGATCAATACAAGAAACACTCTATTCTTTATATTTTTAAAAGATTTACATATAAATCCATCTTGTGACACAGAGCATTTCTTTCAGAGTATCATTTCAAAGTCCATTAGGTAAAAGTAATGGACTAAACTTAAGATGATCATAGAATGTGATCTGCCATTGGTTCATTTTGACATTCCATTGGGAATATTAAAGACAAAATTTGTTTTCACAAGTGCAACTCTAGATTTAGCTTCTTGATATCTCTCAACATCTTTTTGAAAAGTAAGCATATCCATAACAAACTTTTCTGCACAGTGTTTTCTGTATATTTCTTGAGCCCTAAAAGGAAAAAGAAAAGATTATAAAATGTGATGGTTTTAGGTTATTAAAATAGTAATAATTAGATTGTTACTTAGGTTATTAAAACAGTAACTATTAGATTGTCACTAATGATAATTAGATGGCTTCAAAACAGACATAATCAAATGGGAAAAAGAACTCCTTTTAGAGCTTGGTGCAGTGATGCAAGCCTGTAATCCCAGGGGCTCAGGAAGCTGAGGCATGAGGATCGAAAATTGAAGGCCAGCCTTAGCAACTTAGGAAGACCCCATCTGAAAATTAAAAATATAAAAGGGCTGGGATGTATAGTTCAGTGGTTAAATTCCAAGTTCTCTCTACCCAAGTTTCTTCATCTTTTACAAAGGGATAATCCAACTCATAGAGATTAGAAGAGGATTAAATGAGTTTTTACATTAAAAATTTATATAAGAATTCCTGACATTTAAAAATTATGCTTTCTGGATGAATAATAGTGGTTTTCATCAGACTAAGAAATGTAGGAAGAGCAAAAAGATGGGAAAATTTAGTTTTGTTTTGTTAACATTGACCTTCAAGAACCTTGCTATCCATGTCATGACTTCCAAGGAGCTGAATATAGAGAAACAATGGATTGTTGTAAGAGTATAAGGCAGTAAAATCATTCTTTCAGGGTTTAAAATCCAGCACTGAAACTTAAGGATTGTGTAATTTGAATGTGTTATTTAAACTTTCTGCCTCTTTTCTTCATCTTTTTGAAGTTAGGCAATCCAATTCATATGTTTAGTAAGAAGCAAGTAAATTAATATACATAAAATCCTTAAAGGAGTTCCTGTAATTTAATAATTATTCAATGAAAGGTAGTTGCTACTATTTTGACTCGGGAGTTCAAGTAGTCATATGTGGATGCATAGTAGAGTAAAATTAATGGCCAAAAAAATTTTATGCATAAAATTAAGGGTACTAGTTAAGAAAAATATTAAAATAGCTACCTTAGCAGATAAAAACTATTTGGAAAATGTAAAAACAGAATTTAAAATAATTGAAGAGTGAGAAACACAAAATAACCAATTATTTTTATATATACCATAATCAAACAATTAGAAAATGAAATCAAGAAAAAAACTTCACTTAAAATATGATCAGAAAAACATAAGGTACTTAAACATAAGTTTGATAAAAGTTAGGCAAGACCTATACTTGAAAATAATAAAATATTGCTGAGAGAAATTGAAGAAGACCTAAGTGAATGAAGTGTTATGCCGTGTACAAGAATTGGTATAAGCTGTCAATTCTCTTCCAAATTAATACATAGAGTCAATAAAATTTCAATTTATATGCAAAGATTATTTGGGGTAGAAATGAATTATCATTCAAATTTGTTTTGAATATACATTAGATTTAATTTATTTATTTTTAATGATTAAATTTAATTTTTTAAAATTTGTTAAAAAATTTATAGAAATTCAAAGGTCCTCAGACAATCAAAGCAATCTTATGGAAAGGAGAACAAAGTTGGAATTTCTGTTTTACATCCATAAATAGGTTGACTTATAATAACAATCTTATATTATCTCATAGTTCTCATGAGTCAGAAGTCCAGGCCTGGCATGTCTCATTTTTTTCTCATGTTTTTTTTTTTGTTTGTTTGTTTGTTTCTCCCTCCATCTTTAAGTTACCAATCTCATGTCAATTCCTTCTCATGTAATCCCTTTGACTTTCTTTTTTGCCCTGAATTTAAAGGCTAATGTAAATACATTGGGTCCACCAGGATAATCCAGTATAATCTATTTAATATGGACTAATTAACATTCTTAATTATATGTGCAGGGTTCCTTTTACTATCACATTTACAGGTGTGGTATCTCAACTTATTCATAGCCCTGGAGATAAGAGCAGGACATCCATCTTCTTGGGGGCCGTAATTCTGATTAATGGAGAGATATTCATTCTATAATTTTACAGATTACTAAGAATATAAGTAGAAAGATTATTAGCTTCTAACAGAAATTGGAAAGCTAATCCTGAAATAGTAGGGAAAAAAGTAGATATATCCATAATATACAGAATTTTATAGATATGGATATACTAAATTGAATGAATTCAAGCTGGAAGGTCTAAATTTTTTTGGAAAATAAATTTCTTTGTGATAAAGTGGCTTGCTGAGAAGTAGATCATAAGTGGTATTGGACAGAGTGATGGTTTCAAATTGCTCTCATAGCTAGTGGGTAAAGAACAAGCTACTACTGGGGATGTGGCTCAAGCGGTAGCGCTTGCCTGGCATGCGTGCGGCCCAGGTTTGATCCTCAGAACCACATACAAACAAAGATGTTGTGTCCGCCAAAAAATTAAAAAATAATTATTAAAAAATTCTCTCTCTCTCTCTCTCTCTTAAAAAAAAAAGCTACTGAGGGAGCAGCTAAAGTCAGAGGTCATAAAATTAACATTGGCATAAATGTACAGGTCAGTTATTTCCTCTTTCCATTTTGGTATAACTTCAAGAAATAAAAATAGACAATTGGATTGTTCCCACATA